TTCATGAATATTAAGTTGTAATTTTGTGGATTCAAATTGGAGTAATGGTCAAGAACATGAATTTGATTGAGCATGATGTAATTGAATTGGTTTTGTTGAATTGAGGGCCAATATGTGCATGCATGTAAGAAATTATTTTAAATTTGCATGTTTGAGCTTGAAATACATGATTCATGTAGAGTTTTGGTTAAAGCTCATGTTATGGTCACCATTTGTATCATCTAAGTTGAGAATGAGAGTAATACATCACATGCATGTACAATTTATGAGAATAAAAGCTTTGAAGGCATGAATGTGTTATGATGGAAATGAGTTTGGTGTAATTTGAGCCATGCATGTGACTAATTTGTGAAATTAAGCTCCATTGTGTTGTAATTTAGTGTTTGTACCATGTTAGTGCGTGAATATGTGAAGTTTGAGCTAAAATAATGTGTTTGGAGCCCTTGAATGTGAGGTTGAAGCTCAAGAACATGTTCTAAATTTTTCAGAATTTTGATGTCCGCTCGAGCGTGAATTTCAAGCTCCCAGTATTTTCTACAGACATGACGTCCGCTCGAGCGAGGAAACCTCACGCTCGAGCAGGGAGCCATGTAGAGAGGCCTCCCGCTCGAGCACCAGAATTCATGCTCAAGCATAAATTTGATATAACCAGTACTTTTGCAAGCCTCAAGGGTCCACTCAAGCGGGGAAGTCCACGCTCGAGCGGGGACCCTGTTTTCTGAAAATTTGAAAATGTGTTCTGTGTTCTGTTTTCCGTTCCCTTTCACTTCTAAGCACTCTTAGGCATACATTGAGCATTGTAATTGAATTAAAGAGATAAGAATGAAGCCTAAAGAGGAATATGTGAATTAAAGAACGGATTGAATTGTTTGTTACCCATATGTGTTATGTGACATGTAGGGTCAAGCTCCAAGGCAAATCCACAAGCCGATCACTGTGAGTAACATCTGAAATATGTTGATGTCCAATTGCTTACTTCTATGTAAGTTTTGTAAAGTTCATTAATCTGAATGGAGGACAAAATTTGATATGAAAGTCTGAAAGGCCTAAAGGCTAGTTTGAAATGAAAGTTTGATAAAAGGCCTAAAGGCCAGTTTGAAACGAAAGTTTGAAAGGCCTAAAGGCCAGTCTGAAATGAAAGTTTGAAAGGCCTAAAGACCAGTCTGATATGAAAGTTTAAAAGGCCTAAAGGCCAGTATGATATGAAAGTTTGAAAAATGCCAAAGGCCAGTTTGACATGAATAAATTGGGCCCAAGGCCGTCTGATGTATAATGTTCCAATATATTTCTTTATTTGATATTATTCACTGGGCTTTCGCTCACGCTCATTGATGTCTTTGTAGGTGAGCCAAGAGAGGTCCAGACCCAGCCCTAGTGAAGTTTGTATGGAACAACCGAGTTTTGGAGAGTTAGCCCATGTGTCTCACGCACGAGACTCACATTCGCCTTTTTGTCATTTTGTTCTATGTTGTCATGTTGGCGAAGTCATTGTATATGACGGTATATAGTTTTCATGGGTTGACTTAGTTTTGGATGATCCTGTCTGTACAGAACTTTATGGTACTGTATATTTGTTGTGAGTTATTAATGTATGTATGTATAGTTTGTTTTGGCGTGCCATGTAAACACAGCTCTATGGATAAAGTTTTAAATTTTGCTTCCATTTGGCCCCTTTACTTTGATGAGTTATGTTTGGTCTATTTTGAGACCGTAGGTGATCTCAGGATTATTGGCCGGTTATGGCCTAAACCCATAGGGGCGGGTTTGGGTCGTGACAGATACAGAAGGCAGATGGGTTGTGGTGTGATAATAAGGAGCTGAGGGTCAAAAGAGCTAAGTTTCAAAAACCTCAAAGAGCTGGTCAACCGGAGCAAAGGGGTCTGAACAGAGGCGAAGATGGGAGAATGATGGATCAAGGGTTCCAGATTTAGCAGGGGCTGGGAAGTGGAAGTAAGAAGACTTATGTAGAGGTAGTAGCAAAAGGGAGTGCCAAAGTGGGTGCGCAAGTGGTAATAAAAGCTACTGAAGAAGGTAATGGCTGGCAGTATGAAAGCTTAGTAGTTCAGCTGAGCAGCTTCTTAGCTTTTAAGGATTTTAGAGCAGAACTCTGGAAAAGAGGGAAGCACGATGTAGTTGCAAGAGAGGGGGCTGGACGCATAGTTCTGTTAACCTTCCCTTCAGCATAACACATGCAGGTTGAGAAGGAAAAATTAGAAGCGTGGGGAAGGCAATGATGTGATTCAATTGAAGAATGGGGAAAAGGTCAGTTTATGGAGCAAGAGAGGTGCGTCTGGCTGATTTGTCTTAGCATTCCCATAAACCTATGGAGTGTTACAACTGTTCGAAACATTGGTAGTCATTGGGGGGTAGTAACTCAGTTTGAAGAAGATATTAATGATCCACAAAATTTCTAGCAAGCTAAGGTTAGAGTGGTAACAAAGTGCTTGGAGATGATCAATGAGACAATATTTTTGGTGCATAAAGGCAAGCACATTCCAATTAGGGTCTGTGAAGAAGTCCCTAGTTGTTTACTCCCGAATCCAAGTAGTAATAGTAGTATGCAACATCAGTAGCTGCAATCCAATACAAAAGGAGGGGCAGATCAGTTGTCCGGCAATGGTGGTAGTTGCAAGAGTGTAGAGAAAGCTACTTCAGAAAAATAAGAGGAGGGTGTAGATGGGTGTGATAATGTAAGTAGGGTGTTGGAAACTGAGATGGCCAGATCAGATGAGCAGGGTATAGGAAATGATGGCAAGCATGCATTAGTTGCAGTAGGTTCAGAGGGTGGAATGGGAAATAACATAGTAGGTGCAGTTGCAAGAGAGGGTGACATGGGGATTGACCTAGTAGGTGCATACTCTAGAGTGAAGGGGCTGGTGCAGGAAGTCATGTCTCAGTAGACAATAATGAATAAAACTCATGAGTTGGAAAAGGACTTATACACTGGGGGTCTTCTAAAAGAGCTGAGTGGGCCAGTGTGCGCAAGGAATAATATAAGTCTAGAAGTTCTACTTGAAGGCATGCAGGTTAAGCCTGAACCTAGTGGGCCAAATAAGGGGGTGGGGTCGAATCTCAGTGACTGTGTGGCCCAGACCCAAGTTAGACCAACTCTGGCTCAAACCATCCATACGTCTATGCCAAATAGGGCAGGTCAAGGAATAAAATTCAAGGAAGCAGCAGCAAAAAGAGGGTGTATTTCAGGGAATAATGGTAGTGAACAAAGGAGGGGTATCAATATAGTTGGTGGACATATGAAACAAAAAGGCAGGATAGGTAGGCTTGGCTTCCAAAGAAGGGCCATCTTCAGAGCCTCAGCAATGGCTGCAGCCAAGTCATTGTCTATTTCCCAAGATCAGACCTTGAAAAAGAAGGAGCAACCTAGTTGAGGAGGCCCAGACAACAGTAAAGGTTGGTGTATTGCTGGGTATGCAGTGTCAAGGCCAAGAGGAGAAGGTAGTGTCTAAACTAGTAGATACAGAAGAGAATGATTTGGGGAAAATGGCAATTGAAGCAGCTGCAATCAGATCATAGCTGGTTGCTAAGAAGGGGTTTAGGTGTAAGTTGTGATGGTTATTATGAAGACTTTATCATGGAATGTAAGAGGGCTGAGTAGGCCAGAAAAAAGGGCGAAAATAAACAGACTTTGTGGGGGAAAGAGATATAGGTGTATTGTTAATACAAGAAACTAAAAGAAGCTTGATGGATGATAATTTTGTCAAAACAATCTGGCAATTTCGTCAAAACAATATGGCCCTTTGAGGAGATGGGGTTTATGCAGGTAGATGCAGATGGAAGTGCCGGTGGAATTCTATGTGTTTGGAAACCCTAGGTTTTTTAGCTTCAGAATTGCTGTAGTAATAAGAACTTCATCATTCTATCAGGTACAGCTTGTAGTTCTTTTCCATGTGTTATTGTTAATGTTTATTCCCCAAATAAGGGTGTGAGGAGGAGACAAATCTGGGAATCTTTGGCAAATATTAAACAACACTTCCCATTACCCTGGTGTGTGGGCGGGGACTTTAATGAAGTTAGGTACATGAGTGAGAGAAAGGGTTGCACTAGAAGAGAGAGGGGAATGTCAGATTTCAATGAGTTTATAGAAAAGTTGGAAGTGATTAATATGCCAATGTTAGGCAGACAGTACACATGGCGTAATGATGTGGAAGGAGACAGGTGGAGCAGGATAGATAGATTTCTGGTAGATCCAATGTGGTTGGAGAAGTTTGCCATAAAACAATAGGGATTACCTAGAACAATCTCAGACCATTGCCCAATATTGCTCAAGGATGATGATAAGGATTGGGGTCCAAAGCCCTTTAAATTCATCAATACTTGGAGGTCACATCCCATGTTCATGGCTGAAGTTAAAAAGTGCTGGGAGGAAACTCAAGTGCATGGATGGGCAGGGTTTAGAGTCATGAGAAAGCTGAGCAGTATGAGGGATCGTCTGAGGGTGTGGAACAAGGCAGTGTTTGGCAATATAAACTCCCTACTAAAGTCTGCTAAAGAGGAGCTGCATGAATGGGATCTAAAGGTTGAATCCAGGTCCTTGACTGGTCTGGAAATTAAAAGAATAAGAGAAGCCAGATCTAAGGTGTGGCAGCTTAACAGAAACAAGGAAAGGATGTGGCATCAAAAATCCAGGATGCAGTGGGTTAGATTTGGGGATAGAAATACAAGGTTTTTTTTCACATAATGGCAAGCAGTAGGTAGAGAAAGAATGTGTTAGACTCAGTTTTGGTGGAGGGGGAGAGGTTAGAGGATCCAGTGCTGGTAAAACAAGAGGTGGTTAGGCATTTTAGTTAGCAATTTTCTGAGCTTTGGATTCATAGGCCAAAAATGTTAGGCCCTTTTGCTAATATTAACCCTGAGGCAACAGTGAGTTTGGAAGATGTTTTTACTGAGGCTGAGATTTGGGAAGCAATTCAAGACTGTGATGGGAACAAGGCCCTGGTCCTGATGGCTTTAACCTAGCTTGCATTCAAAGTTGTTGGAAAATTATGAAAGGGGAAATAATTCAGTTGATGCATGAATTCCACACCAATGAAAAGTTGTCAAGAGGGATCAACAGTTCATTTATTGTTCTTATTCCCAAGAAGGACAACCCTATAGGTTTGGGGGACTACAGACCAATTAGCTTGGTCAGTTCAGTCTATAAAGTCTTGGCCAAGGTGTTGTCTAGAAGACTCAAGAGGGTTCTTCCATCTGTGATCAGTGAAGTCCAATCTGCCTTTGTTATGGAAGGTACATCCTAGATAGGGTGCTAATAGAAAATGAGGCAGCAGATGGGTGGAAGAGATCTAAGAAGAAGGGGATTATTCTCAAGTTAGACTTTGAAAAAGCATATGATTCAATAAATTGGGAGTTTCTAGTATCTATGTTGAGAAACTTTGGATGTGTGAAAAATGGATTAGTTGGATGAAGACTTGCATCTCAACTGCTAAGATTTCTGTCCTGGTTAATGGTGCACCGACTGAGGAATTTCAACCACAAAAGGGGCTTAGGTAGGGTGGCCCTCTTTCACCTTTCTTGTTCATTATATTTGCTGAAGCACTTAATTTGTTACTGAGGAGGGCTACTGAGAAAGGCTTATTCCAAGGTGCTATTGTTGGTTCTCAAGAGTTGAGTGTATCTCACCTCCAATTTGCAGATAATACCATCATTTTCTGTGAAAGGGATTTGGAGGAGGTGAAGAATTTAAAAGGAGTGTTGAGGTGCTTCGAGGTGATGTCTGGGCTGAAAATTAACTACCACAAGAGTGTTGTTTGTGGGGTGGGCTTTCAAAAGGAACAAACTAAAAAGTTTGCTCAGACCTTGAATTGTCTAACTAAGAGGATGCCTTTTAACTTCTTAGGTCTACCTTTAGGGGCCAACCCAAGAAGGAAGAACATTTGGGTCCCAGTAGTGGAAAAAGTTAAAAAAAAGCTATCCTCCTGGAAAAGGAAGCTGTTATCTTTCACTGATAGATTGTCTTTGGTTAAATCTATTCTGTCTAATTTGCCCATCGATTTTCTCTCATTGTTCAGGATGCCTAAGGGGGTTGTAAGGTCTATAGTGAAGCTACAGTCTTCCTTTCTATGGGGAGGGTCAGAGAATAAGAAGAAGGTGCACTTGGTTCAATGGAGGGAGGTCACCAAAAGTAAATGGCAAAGAGGCTTAGGAGTGAGAGATGTAGGAGAGGTGAATGATGGCTTGCTGTTAAAATGGTGGTGGAGGTATGGGAAAGAAGACAAAGCTTTATGGAAATCTGTGTTATGCTCTAGGTATAGCAGAATTGGTGGGGGTTGGATGCCACCAGTGTCTCACACAGGTGGGATGTCTAATATCTGGCAGGACATTGTGAAGCTACCTGCAGTCAACCAGCATCTGGGAGATTTTTATGAGGACCATTTTAAAGTATTTGTTGGTAATGGGAAGAGAATACTTTTCTGGTCTAATGACTGGGTATGTAGAGGAGGGTTGAAGGTTGAGTTCCCCAGATTATTTCACTTATTGACTGAGAAAGAGGAAACATTGTATCAAATTAGTGCTTAGAAGAGCAGTGCAGGGGTGTGACAGCTACAGTTCAGAAGAAGGCTGTTTGCTTGGGAAGAAGAGGAGCTGTAGAGGTTATTAAGCCTGTTGGCTTCATCCCCTGCAATCAGATCTGAAATTGAAGATTCTTGCTCATGGTTAGCTAACAACTCAGGTCAGTTTTTAGTGCTCTCTGTGTGGCAGTGGTGGATGACAGCAAATGGACCTGGTTTGAATATTCTTGTAGCATTATGGGTTAAGTCTGCTCCCCCAAAAATGTAATTTTTCTACTGGCTGGCTTGGAGGGAGAGGGTGAAGACTTCATCTTTTCTAAAAAGGAATGGGGTCTTAGCTGCAACTGTTAGTTTCTCTTATGTTTTCTGCAATGCTGTGGAGGAAACCTTGGATCATGTGCTACTCTTTTGTCCACTGATTTGGGAGTGCTGGTCAGTAATGGTAAGATGGTGGGATCTGGTATGGGCTATACCTGGTTCAGTTCAGGGGCTGCTTCCTTGGTGGTCTAGAGGCAAGTTCAAGTCAAAGGAATCCAGAATTTGGTAGGTAATTCCGTCTGTGGTTTTCTAGTATGTATGGAAATTAAGAAATGATTGTAAATTCAAGGGAACTCTACCTACTGTTGAAGACTTAACTGAAAGAATTAAGTTGCATATTGCTCTGTGGACCAAGTGGATATTGAAGGTTGATTACTCTGCTCATGATTTTGTTTCTGGCCTGCACCAGGTTAGGCTATCTGTGCGAGGTGCTTGAGGTGTTATTGTGGAAGCTTCAGTCGATCTGTCTTGCTTCTATGTTTTCTATTTTGTGTTGTTGTTTTTGCTCTGTTGGTCTCTCACCAACTGGAGCTTGGAGCTTTGTTAGCTCAAAACTCCTCTTTATTGATGTAATCTTCTTTTCATCAATATAGATCTCTTTTGCCAATCCAAAAAAAAAAAAAATAGTAATATGCCCCAATGTGGTTTTAGATTAAAATATAACCGTTAACTACAGATATGAAATAACCGTAATACCCTCAAACCTTATATTTTTTGTTATTTTCTTTCTTTCTTTCTCATCGCTCATACACATAATTCATAATATCTAATATTAATTTAATTAAATCACAATTAATTATAAATTCTTAATTATTTATTGTAATTCTTAATTTTTTATTTTAATTTTAATTTAAATATATTGTAAATCACAATTATGCCTAATTATTTAACTATTTATTGTAATTACTAACTTTTTAATCTAATTATAATTTAGATCACAGTTAATCCTAAATTCTTAATTATTTATTATAATTTCTATTACATTTTAGATCAATTCTTAATTATTTTTTATTTTTTATTTTATTTAATTATATTTTAAATCAATTCTTAATTATTTTTTAATTTAATTTATTTTAATTAACATATTAATCTAATTTTAGGTTTGTATAAAATGGGGGTAAAATTGTTCTTTTATTGTATTAAATTCATTCTAATTTTTTGAAAACAAAGATCATATTAAAAAATAGGTGTGTGCAAATAGTTTGAATAAAAAAACTAACAATAATATTTTACTCCAAAATCAGATGGTTTTTTTTGGCTATATTGAGAGTAAAGTGTTCCCCAAACTACAAGAAGGTAAAATAAATTTAATCCTTATTTACATATACTTACATTAAGTTTAATAATTAAAATACTATCTTTTCCTCATTTTTACTTAACAAAAATATGTAAATGATTTAGTGAAAACAAATAAAAAAAATTAGAATCTAAATTGATAAAATTAAAATTTTGACATTTATTTTGTTAGAAGCGTCGAATCGTAAAGTTTCTTTTGTAATTTCCTCTATAATTTATATTTTAAAATTTTATGATATTATTATGAAAAACATAAGAAAAATTGTTTTTCATTTTTTTTTTTGGGGCATACATACAATAGGCATACATAGGCATACATACAATAGGCATACATACAAAAAAAAACTTGTACCATCATAAAATAAAATTATTTTTTTATTGTTCAATTAAAATATAATTTTCCCCAAAACATATCAGGTACAACCTTCTAGTTTCCATACAAACATTTTCTTAGGCCATGTTTGTTTGGCCTCTTAGATGGCGGGATTGGATTAATAATTATGTGGATCCAACCAAATTCATGTTTGATTGTGCTATATATTAACGGACTATGAGCCTCATGGGACTATCAATCCTACATGGGGGTAGGACTAGCATTCTCTTGGAGGGGATGTGATAGCTAATCTAATCCCCTTAGATTGAAGCAAAATGTGTATTTTGCCTTTTGTTTATCAAACACAATAATAATAATAAACAAAAATTATGCAATAAAAGCTTTTACATAATGTCATAAATTTAATCCCAACTAACTAATTCCACTAGACTACATCTCAAGCAAACACACATTATCTTACATCTCTAATTTTACATTATTACATTACTAATTTTCTCACTCAATCTCATTGAATTCATAATCTCATCCAACATAATGTACCAAATAAACGTGGTCTTAATGGCTATAATAAAAAACTTCAACAAACACAAGTTGGAAGTTAAAAAACAAAAGGCACCTAAAAATTCGAGATTTTAGTGATTACTCTTAGATAGTGCTACATAATAGAATCACTTAATCATATAACGATAAGTCATAAAATTAATGAGAATACGAATTCATATTTCTGACAATAAGTACAATTTGTCCAAACTTAAAAAGTCTGTCTTACTAATCATATATATTGTCACCCAAATAATTAATTCAAAAAAAAAAAATCAAACTTATCACATTAAAATACCTCATCAAGTTGCTCCACAATTCTGATAAAAAAAAAAAGCTGCTCCACAATTGAGTTAGTTGGAATTTGTATATTTGACATTACTCCTCATGAATGATGCCAAAAAAAAAAAAAAAAAAAAAAAAGAAAGTTGCTACACAATTGGGTTAGTTGGAATTTGTTTATTTGGTCATTACTCGTCATGAATGATACCTTGTACGAGCATTAGTGGTTGGATGTTGTTTATTTGTCATTACTCGTCATGAATGATGCCTTGTACGAGCATCTAGGAAAGCAAATAGGAAGATGACAAGCTTGCATGTTCCTCGTTGAAAAACCTTAAAAATTTAAAAGTTAATGTTAACAATGCATAATAATCCTCAATTAAACACAAGTAAATTTAATTCAATTAAATGAGAATTGAATTATATTTACAAAATAAATATCTACAAATCAACAAAGCATTATAACATGAAAAAAATCATAATTAAAACACCTCCAATTGTGATGAAAAAATTACAAGCCAAAATTACAAAACAATCTATTAAGAAGCGAAATGAGTTATGCACGAAAATCCTCAATTGCTTAACGAATTCATGTCCAAAGTGAACCGAACTTGATATGTCTCTTCCAACACCGTCTTCACCTCAGAATTACCCTCCCCAACGTTAAATCTACAATGTTGATATCAAATCCGCGACGATGTGCCACTCTAAAATCCACCAAAGTTTTAGGCTCAAATTTTCCAAAATCCACTAATAAACATCTCTCTGTGTGAATAATAAACAATAGAAAACCCTTGGAGATTGTCAATATGAGGTCCGTTGATCCATATCAAACACGCTCAATTCATCAAAGAAACCAATATATGATATATAACACTTTAGCTTCTCTTCTCTCTGAGAATTTAGACAGTTAAACCCTAAAACGTGCAACCCCAACACTTTATAGCAATTTGGGAGATGAAGACCGTTCGAGCGGTGAGACTAGTAGAGGCGGTGCAAACAAATTCCTAGTTGTTTCTTAGGTCGAGCGCAAGACTTACCACTTGAGCGGTAAACCAAAAGTCTCAGTATCTTAGAGCTCAGACCAAGATACTAGATGTTCCAATTCAGCGCTCGAGCGGTCCAAAAACTTTGACAAGCTCAAAAACTCATCTGCTCGTGTACACCTTACCTTCAAGATAAACTCCTCTACGCAGGCACAAATTGAGTTAGATTTGCATATAAATTATTACAAATTCACTGATACAAAAGAGTGAATGCAATTACATTTAAATGGAGTTCTATCAAATGGGATTGTCAATTACAAAATACCTAACTCTTTTAGCAGTAGTCAAAATAAATAATAATAATAATAATAATAATAATAATAATAATAATAATAATAATAAATAAATAAATAAATAAAGGAAAAATTATAAATAAAAAAAAAACTCAAGATTTAACCTTAGTAATAAAATAAATTTTGAAATTTAAATTCTATCAATTTAAACCTTAATACTTTGATTTATTATCACTCTAAATTATCTAAATATTTTTGTTAAAAAAATTGATTGAAAAAATGATATTTTTAATCATTAAAATCAATGAAAAGGGTATCTAAAACATTTTACGTACGACTATATTTGAGTTTTGTCAGTTTTATTTAACGAAAATAGGTAAATGGTTTAAATTAAAAATAAATCAAAATATTAATGTTTAAATTGATAAAATTAAAAATTCAAGATTTATTTTATTTTTTCTCCCTAAAATAAATAAATAAAGAAGAAATTATAAATTAGTGCATATAATAAAAAACAATTACAAACACAAGGCGGTGCAACTCTTTCGTGTGAAAAAAAAACACAACAAAAATTGTATTCCAAGAATATTTGTACTTGTTAACAAATAATTATCTCACTTCTCACTAAATCGTAATTTGTTTGTAAACAAATGTGAATGATAAATTGACAATTACCATGTATAAAAAAGACACGATGTATTTTAAATTCAAATACATTACAGATATTTATTATTATTTAAAAAAAAAAAGTGTTCTTTGAAGTCAAACAAGATGATAATAATGTTTGTTCATGTTTTTCCTCTAAACAGAACCAAGATGATTAATTAAATTGCGGTTGTTGAAGTATTTGGCCTTATATTAATGTTATAGAGTAAATTACAAATACTATACGGATTGTCTCCTCTATTTTAAAAAATTATAAATATTCTTTTGTCATAATTTTTTATTTGACAGGATAAAATTAATTGAAAATATAAATTTTTTAACTGTTCATTTATACAATAATAAAATTACTTAAATATTAATTGAAATAAATTTCTGACATTATTAAAAACTATTAATTAACTTAATAAT